CTGTCTCAAAAATAAATAAACATTAAAAAAAAAAAAGAAAACTGGAATGGTGTCAGAATCTCAGGGCAAATGGGAAGAGTGCTTTGGGGGCAAATAGATCTTAATTATAGAAACCTGATTGGGTCGCCTGAATCGCTCAGTCAGTTGGGCATCCAACTCTTGATTTTGCCTCATGGTGATCTCACAGTTCGTGGGATTGAGCCCCATGTAGAGCTTTGTGCTGGCAGTGTGGAGCCTGCTTGGGATGCTCTTTCTCTCCCTCTCTGTTTGCCCCTTCCCTGCTTGCGTGCATGCATGCTCTTTCTCCTTCAAAATAAACAAACTGCAATCAGGTTTCTATTTATTTAGGTAACATTAAGAAGAATAACTTTCCTATAGATGGGAAACAGTAGAAACTCTTTGCTGTTGGATTACTGTTGGATTACAGCTAGGGTTGATGATAATGATAACAATGACAGTGACGGTGCTGTTAATAGCTAATATTTACTGAGTATACCTGATGTGCTTCAGGCATTTGTAAAGTGCTTTATATGTATTAACTGATTTAGTTGTCATAAGCAGTCTTTTGAGGGTAGGTGAGTGGCAGAGCTGGGACCTGAATTCAAGCAATCTGACGCCATGCTTCAAACCATTCTGCTATAGTGCGAGAATATATAAAATGTTAAGCATGGTGCTTGTTTCATAATTATAGTTCAATAATATTGGGTATTAATAAGAGTTTCATGCTCTACCAACTGAGCTAGCTGGACACCCATTGTTTTGGGTATTAATAAAACAAAATAATAGTGGAGACTTTTATCACAGCAGACTTAATATTTGGAGTCCTATGAGAACAGGAAGGCTAGGCCTCTTTTGTTCCTGCATAGATGCCTGTAAACCTTGAATAGTTGCTCGGCATGGACTTGAGCTGAGGGGTAGCAACATCTCTAATGTATTTTGAGTACTGTTTTATTTTTTTCTCCCATCCAGTGGAAGAACAAGAAAGGCAGGAAAGGAATAGAACCCGGCAGCCCCCAAAAGAGGGTGGTGAAGATAGTGCAAACCTGGACTTCATGTTGGCCCTAAGTCTGCAAAATGAAGGGCAGGCCCACAGCATGGCTGAGCAGGACTTCTGGAGGGCTGTATGTGGTGCAGACCAGTCCCTTGAAGGTCCCAATGCTCTGAATGACATAAAGGGTAGGTTTGTTTATTCTGCACTAGTCTCTGTCTCTACAGGTTTTTTTTGTCTAACACCATATAATTTATATAAAATTGTAAGTTTTCCATCAGATAAGATTTGCCTTTTTTGTTTTGCTTTCCCCAACTTTTTATTCATAGAAATTGTCAGAATAGTACAGTTCCTATCTATATACCGCTTGTTTATATTTGCCAGTTTTAATGTTTTCCATTTATTTTATATATTTTTATTTCTACCCCTGAATCATTTGAGAATAAGTTGCAGACATAACATTTTATCCCTAAATACTTCAGCATGTATCTTAAAAACAAGGGTATTCTATGTAAACACAATACAAATACCACTCTCAGGAAATTTAACAGAGGTTCCCGACTTATACATAATGTTCTTTGGAGCTTTTTTGTTTTCAAAATCCAGGATTATACGTTGTGTTCTTTTTAGGTTAATTTAGTTTAGCCCCCTCCACCTGTCTTTTTTTTTTTTTCTTTCTTTCTTTCAGTGCATTGGTACTTTTGAAGAGTCCAGGGCAGTTGTTTTGCAGAATATTTCTTTCCTAATTTAGATTTGTCTGATTGTTTTCCCATGTTTAGATTCAGGTTACACAGTTTTGGCAGAATTGCTATGTTGGTGATGCTGTCCTTCTCAACATGTCAGTTTATCCTATTACTCATTAAAATGAAGTCTGTCAGGTACCTTCATTATATGGATAGCTTTTATCTTTATAATAGCTACATGCAGATTGTTATTTTGAGATTGTGGGGGAATGAGATATTTACACCATCTTTTATTTAGTAGTTTTTTCTATTCACTAAGGTTTCTTGCTTGAATCAGGTATAACTGACAATTGTGCAATAGTGATTTTGTTTTTATCCTTTGTTCTAAATAGTTATGGTTCTATAAAGAACTTTGCTCCCCTCCCTGCCTGCATTTAAAAACAATTCTGGGGGCACTTGGGTGTCTCAGTTGGTTAAGTGCCTGACTCTTGATTTTGAATCAGGTCATGATCTCACAGTTCGTGGAGATCAAGCCCATGATGGGCTCCACACTGGGCACAGAGCCTGCTTAAGATTCTCTTTCACCCTCTCCCTCTCCCCTACTTGCTCGCATATGCTTGCTCACTCTCTCTCAAAACACAGAAACAAACAACTTTTAAAATAAAAATAAAAATTCTGGGACACCTGGCTGGTTCAGTCGGTAGAGCATACGATTCTTGATCTCTGGGTTGTGAGTTCAAGCCCCATGTTGGATGTAGAGGTTCCTAAAAAAAATAAATAAAACTAAACTTATAAGTTTAAGTTAAGTTTAAGTTTAAGTTGGGGGGCACCTGGGTGGCTCAGTCCGTTGAACATCTGACTTCGGCTCAGGTCACGATCTCACATTTCGTTAGTTTGAGCCCCACATCAGGTTCTCTGCTGTCAGCATGTAGCTGGCTTCCGATCCCCTCTCGCCCTTTCTCTCTGCCCCACCCCCTCTTGCAC